TCCACTTCTAATGCTAAGCTATACCCAAGTTTTTCTTGGGCTTACTACAACCAATCCACACTTAAGCTTGTAAACTTTTAAACTAACCCCACACCATAGTTGTACGTTGTCGAGCGCATCGGCCCCCACCTTTTTTGCAAAGGCGAGAGCCCTACCGGCCATGTCACGCAGGAGTTAAACAAAAACTATAGAGACAACTTGAGGTCGGCGCATAAATAATCCCGCGGACCGTCGAGACGGTCGAGGTCGCGACGTCCCTTCACCGCTTTAGCCGGGTGCGCCAGCTGTACATCCCGCGGTCCCCTACGACAAGATAGGTTTCCGCGGGACATAAGCTTGCTTCCCTAAAGGGTTGTCATCACCCTTAGGGGCGTATCCCTACCGAGCTACCGACCCACATGCGAAAGCTTTTACATGCAGTTGTAGAGGCGGGTCAACCGAGGGTGTTTGCTTACTCGTTGTAGTACAGGTAAGCGAGGTTAAAACGCCTATTGAACCCGAACGTCGTCCGTTCCTTAGGGTGCTGATCTCCTAAGTACGAAACGTACGCCGGTCGACTTAGTCTAGGACGGTTTCAACCAAGGGTGAAATCCCCAACTCAATACATCAAAAGAAATCGGCCATAGTCGGTAAGAAGGTACATTCAATCTAAAATAGAAGAACTTGAATCATCATGCAATACATCCAATAACACAAGATCAAAATAAAATCCGACCACCCCGGGTCAAATTCCACATAAATCATACAACCGCGAACGAGGAGTTGACTTTCGAAAATAACCTCAATGCAGCCGACAAGGTATTCGGTCTGTCTTAGTTTTGACTTGATGAGATTAACTGCCACCAAAGTTATTCATTTCATCCTACCGCCCACCTAAGATTGAACACGCACACACCCGTCTCCATACGTTTCTCAATCTTCTTGTACGACGGACTGTTTTGTGGATGATTCTTGATTAGGGGCATTGCTTGAGGTGTTGCATGCCTCTCCCACTAGGAAGTGGTCTGGAGTACTTCTCCTCCTCACCCAAGCACAAGACTCAGATCTCAGAAGTCGGACCGTCTCCACCGAATCGGCGAAGTACCCCCCCGTAGAACGGTCCACTCTGGGTCGATAACAAGGTCGTCTCCTAAAGCAACGAGCCTTCGCCCCAGATGTTTCCTGAAGAAAGAGAATGTGTTCACCACAAGTAGATTTTCAGTAGTCCCCTTCATCTCTTGCCCAAGGTAACTCAAACGAAAAGAGTTAGAAAAGATAGAGAATGAGAACCATTTAGACAAATAAAAGTCATTCAGGAAAGAGTGGTCAATCTTTGGAAAAAATCTTCGTTCGTTTGACCTTATCTGCTTTATTTGATTCGAATTCGTTTTATGGTGCGCACAAAAGTGATATTTCTTAAAACAATCAACCCTTCTTGGTATGCAGGCAGGTGAGAAGTCAAAAGAAGACACTCGTTTTTCATTTTATCAAATAGGCATAACCAATCTCCTTTGCAAGCATCCTTCTACCTACTTGCACAACACGCAGAGACACAACAAGTTCAAGAGAAAATCAGTGCAATCTCATGCTCAAGTTATACTTTTTCATTCACATGCACGATATGCACAACTTTCCTCTACCTTTTCAACGACCAATTAATGAACAGGGTCAAGCAAAGTGCGGGTTCACATAGGTATGAAGGGAAATCTGAATCAATCAAGCGACTGACTTTGAGTGAAGTGGTGTCGAACGCGCCCTGGCTCACTCAAGAAAGCCAAGAAAAAATATATTTGTCGGCAAAAATACTGTAGTCCCAAGGCAAGTCTCAAGTCAGTTGTTTGTCCCAATCTGTTCCCGACTCGCAAATCTCACACGCGGTAGTCCCAGATTCGATGGTGGTAAGTTGCTCGAGTCCCCCCAAAAATGTTGGTTTCAAGACATTCTCAATTGGTCCCACGTCTGTCCCAACCGGTCCCAAGTGGTCCCAGATGGTCCTATGCCACTAACCACCTTGTCAAAAAACCTCAGACCATAATAACTTCACGCCGCACTTCAAAAAAAAAACGAGTTCCGCTAAACCCAACTAGTCCCGAGATTGCCGCTGTGACCGCATATGCCCCGCGCCGGTCTCAGCGGGTCCTAGGCAGTCCCAAGTGGTCCGGCACCACTGCCGCAATAGCCGAGGCAGTCCCAACCCCCAACACTCGCTCCTTACGTAGATTCCATAGTGTCGTGCGCACTAATTGTCACCACATCACGTTGCCGCCGCCACACACTCCAACTCCGATAGCACAACCTCATCAAACAAAACAGACGTCGCGCCGTAGAAAAACTATGCCGCTGCCGTGCCGCAAATCCCCGTTGTCGTGTCGCTAATCCAGCAGCATTTCCACACCAAAGAAAAAACAAGTGATATTGTGCCACCAATCCGACAACACTTCCCCGCCAAAAGAAAAGTCAAGTGTCGTTGCGCCGCAAGTCCGGCAGCACTTCCCTGCCAAAAAAATCAAGTGTCACCGCGCCGCAGATCCGACAACACTTCTCCTCCACGTAAGAAAAATGGTTGCCAGAAACTCCACACCGCCCATGCAACACCTCCCCAGTACTGTCGTTATGGCCGCCAATGACGTCGTGCCACAACACCTTCCCAGCGCCGCAGCGTCGTCGTCACCCCCTATCGCATCTCACGGTCGTTCCTAGACTAGCCAACCATTGGATGAAGCAGAGTGCTCCAGCCAGGCTATGGCTGTCTCCTCCTCCTCGCCACACTCCACTACCGTCCTCCAGCTCCATCTGCAGCACTCCTGCCTCCTCTCCAACACTCCAGCAATGAGGCAAGTGTGTTGTCGCACACTGGCTGCTGGAGGCAATTGTGAAAAGCTGGAGGACAATTGCCTCTTTTGTAGTGGCTGAGGACGGCAGCAGCAGCCTCAGCTGCCCCCAGACAAAATTCGTCACTTGCCTGGGGCCCTTGATCTCAACACGATCAAGGGTCTGAGGTCGTCGCACCTCAGCCACACACTTAGGGAGGCAGTTATACTCAACCGGCCCCCTCTTTTCTCCTACTTTTCCTTGTACTCGGCCTCACACTGAGCGCATGTGCACTGAAAAAATGGCAATTTCCAGATAAGTTACCTTCTTCATCTCTTTAACTCCCCACCCTCTGGTCTGAGTCACGTTCAGGCCAGTTTGGCCTATATCCGACCGTAGTCGTGGCCATGGCTTTTTCTTTTCCCTTCTTTTCCTTTTGCCTATCCCCTACATCTACTCTGCGCTCGCGGCCGCATACGTGTCTGTTACTCTTCCCTTTCTTTCTCCCTGTTTTTTTTTTTTTTTACAGAGTCGGACTAAAGTCAAGCTCAAAGGGGTCTCCTTTCCTCTTGCCTGTGCCCGTATTGGGGCTAGAACAGACGCCTGATACAGGTGTGCAGCTCCAAAGCCCCCCCCCTTCTCTCTCTCTCTCTCTCTCTCTCTCTCTCTCTCTCTCTCTCTCTCTCTCTCTCTCTCTCTCTGCATCTCGACAGTCGCGACCGTTGCTAACGACGAGCGAGCTGTCGGGATGTACCAAAGTGTGCAGAGAGCCCCTCGTAACTCAAGGACAAGGTTTGCCTTCGAACGTAGCCGCATTCCAATGGCAGATCCGTTCGTAGGGGCCCTGCTCATTTGCCCGTTCGTTCGAAACGAATGGGTGCCTATAGGTAAAAAGAACGAAAGACAAGAAAAAAATATATATAAACAAAATCTTAAAAAAAAATAAAACGAAATCTAACAACAAAACAAAACAAAATCACTTCTAAAAAAAACGGTCGCCCGTTTTCACGGGTGACTGTTTGGTGTACTGGGGCTGAAAACCCCGAGTTACTTCAACGAACACCACATGGCGCATTGCTTTTAGTTCTTTAAGTTTTTTTTTGTTTTTTTTTTTTCCTTGTTAGCCTTGGCCAACGGTCACTTCGCATATGTGGCCCCCCCCCACAGACTTTTGACATACAGGCCCGAGTTCGAATCCCCGCGAGATCGATTTTTTTTTTTTTTTTTTTTTTTTTTTTTTTTTTT